ACAAAAAGGCAAATCAGTTTTTGTACTTAGTGAAAGGTGGCAAATTAACCCCTCAACTCATTGTATGATTCTAAATCAACCCTTTTTGTAGGACTTGTACTGGACACTCGTCAATTCCTAATGGAAAGGTGCTTTTGGTGGGGTCGATTGCTTATATGACAATAAGGTGGCATTTTTTATCCTACATCAGTGCTGAATTGGTATTAAATTTATAATTTATATTAAGATTTTTTTTCTTTAAAGTGTATTTATTAAATATTTTAATTATTAATTTATATAAAAAAATTACAAAAATAAATTTTATTTTTAATATCAATATTATGTAAAGTACTCTAATTAGATAGTTAATAGAGTTAAAATAATTTTTTTTATATAATAATTGCAATACAGGTCTTAAATGGCATTACTTAAATTTATCAAATTTACAAAAATTACTTTTAAAAAATAAGACTTATCACTATCTAAAATGGCCAAAACAATAATTACTACAACATAAAAAATACTATTATACTAATAGCTTAATGCCTTATATTTGTATAAGTTCTTTCTCTTAGTTCTTTGCCTAAAATAGATCTAAAAAGAAGAAATAACCACATACTCATAAGAAATTAATGTAAATTTATAATCATTGTAAGGGTGCGTTGGTAATGAAGGATGATGAGTCAGTAGTAGTGGTGATGTGGAGGCTGACTAGGATGCCACCCATAAAAGAAGTGAGGAGGGTCCTTCTAGCAGCACCCGCTTCATGTGCGAAAGGCTACATGCTTCAAGCCATATTGTTCTATCCAACAATGATACCCAACAACGAACCTTCCAACGAAATCTGAAAATATAAATGTTCCAACCAAACCAGGAGAACTAGGCAACGACAACTGGGGTTTCAAGGACCAAGAATGATTACACATGTCACGCCCCAGAACCCAAATCTGAGGATGTGGCAGACGCCATGCACTCGTAAGAAGATCCCACAAATGCACAAGGTTCAGAACTTATCCAATTCACATCTGACAATCCAATAACTTAAGTCAAATATTTCAATTTATTTCTATATCCAAAATGACTTAAGCTCAAAATCTCAAGGACAAATCTCTTGTAAACTAACAATCCATTAAATGAATTTATAAAATCTCTAATTAAAATCTAGCTTACAAGATCATGATCTATATCTAAAATCTATATCAAATTTACAAGATGGCTAGCCTTCTAACTCGTCACTTCCCGTGGTTTCCCCGTCCTCGGTTTCGCTTCCTGAAATGGTGGACAAGGAAAAACTATGAGATAAACTCAGTAAGTAAAATATGGAGTGCCCCTTATTAAACTTATAGTATGCCAACAAGTGTAATCACAAAAAAAGAAAACGGATACGGTATGGGAATGAAATAGACGTCTCCTCTATAGGTCATGGCTAGTGTTATAAACCTCCCACTGGCAGGCTATAGTATTTGCTGGTGTATAACCCCCACTAGCAGGGTCACTCGTACGAATCGGCTCTATCACTAACATGTCGACATGTGCTAGCGTTTAACCCCCATTAGTAGGGTCACTAATAACATGACCACGTCGGAGACAAAACAAGCTGAAGTTAACAGAGAAGAATCATACTTTATAGAAATTTCTAGATCATCAGAGCAGTTAAATAAACTCCAAGCAGGCATGCTTAAATCAATAAAAAGAATAATAATCTTATTTCAAATCAATCATGCTCAATTTAATGAAAAGCATAGAAATTTCACTTCAAATCAGTCATACTTACTTTTATATAAAATGAGTTTAGTCCCGCTACCACTTCAAAAACAAACTAAAATGTGCTTTAAAATCGGAGGGCGTTACCATAATTTACTTACCTCAAATTACATAACATAGAAAATTCACTCCATAAACCAAGGACTCAATCCAAGTGCTAGGGCAACCAATGATCAAGAACCTAATCAAAATATTCCAAAAATTAATTATCGTACCACGGATTCAAAAGTAAAATCACCATGACTACCCCCTACTCATGATGCTATTTCTATCAATCTTCACATGATCAGATATCTCCAAATTCTCACAGCAGTCAATTCAATTAACACTCAATCACATAAATTCCACTTGAATTAATGCTTAAATTTTGTCCTAAAGCTACCGGAATTCATCCCCATTTTCTGCAGATTTTCGGACATCACAAGGCAGCAAATTAAATGAATAATTTTAGGCTTAAAGGACTGTCCATACCAGAATTTTCCTAGCACAACCAGACTGCAGTTTGGGGAAGAGCCGGCGGTAATTTCTGCAGAGGACTCACGGCTACCCAAAAATTGAAGGAAATTAAAAGAGCTTAGAGTGAACCCAAGCCAAATTAAGGCTGAAAAGATGAAGTTCATGTTGTGTTCCTTACCAGAAAACCGAACCCACCACCCACAGCAGCAACCAGCGGCAAAAGGAAGGAGAAGGCAACAGCAGATCTGGAATTTTCTGCAGGAGGAGAAGGTTTCTAAGCTCCTAAATCTTGTCCTTGAACCAAAAAGAAGGAAAAAACCCAAGCTTCTTACCGGTTTTTCTTCAAGGGAGGGCTGCTGGCAGCTTGGGGGCTTTGTTCGGTGCAAGGGGAAGAAAAGAAGAGCAGAACACGCGAGTTGGAAGAAGAAAGAAGAAAAAAAATGCCAGCCGATCCTTATCCAAAAATTTCCCCTTTTTTGAGTCCTTCAACTTTGGAAATTTTGGCTATTAAACCCAAAACAATATTTTTCCACAATTTAATCCTTAACTTAATGCTAAAATATCACAAAATTTTGGGGTATTACAACCCAACTATCAAAGATGATGGGAAGAGGAAGATGTACATTGTTGTAATAGTAGCAAAGATGGAAAACATATAAGGATCAAAAATTGCAACTTGAGAATCTCGCTTATACTTAAAGTACTGACATAATAATAATGACAATAAATGTGGCCCCTATCATTTCTAAGTAAATATCCTCATTCTATAAAGAGCAACCCTCATATTGAAGGTGGAAAATACAACAATCCCTCTCTCGTAGCTCCTTTTAAAGACCAAAGGGATAAACTCGAAAGTGGTGATAGGAGAAGGATGGATGGTTGCTTGGGGGCTTGTGAGTAGAGTGCTTGATCCCGTTGTTGATGCTAACCTTGCAACTTGATCATCTGATGCTTAAGAGAAATTACCCAAAAGTTGAAATTGTAATATGTTGCCTCCCAGTCATGATGTGTTGCAAGTCTAGAAGTTATTCTATAGTGCTGGTAGTGCCGAAAAGATGGAGAAAATGGTGGTTTTCTAGTGATTCCAATGTATAAGTTGAGAGGTTGAAGGCGGAGGATTTTTTAGAGGAAAATGAAAATCTAGTACGTGAGGAAGAAAGTTGGAAGTCCCCCAGGTATCTGTTCTTCTGCTCTATCCCCTGAAATAAAGAAAAAGAAAAATAATATATATAGGTACAATGTCATTTTTGTAATTTTTGGTTGATAAGTTAGAGGTGTATAGGTGGGTTTGGGTGAGTTGTCAAGTTGTTAGTTGCTCTGGACACTGCTAGCAGTTCTCTAGCAGTGATATTATGAATTACCTAGTGGTTCTAGCAAAGCTTCATTAGTTCTAGCGAAGGACTAGAAACTGACTATTTCTGGTAATTCCTCCAGCTATATGAAATTCCATTTTTGGAAGGGTATTTGAGTGCAAGTGGCAAACACAACACTTGCATAGGATTTTGGTAGGTTCCCGAGGGTCTGCGTGAGATTTTGGAGGATTTCCCAAGTAAACAACAATCCTTTTCAACAGTTTTCAAGGTTATGGAACTTGTGAAACCACCATTTTATTAAATGCAACTGCCACTTGTTGAAGGTGACCAGAACAGCATCTCTGGTTAGTTTTTTTACGGGATTTTAAGCCTCTGGTTACCATCAAAGGGTACTTTTTTGGGAATCAAATCCACTTCCACGTCTTTGCCACCCAAACCTTTCTGGCGAAGTCGAGCAACATCGCTAGTGCCAAGCTTTGTTGGCACGAGTGCCATGCTTCGCCAAATGGGCAATGTCCATCCATCCATGCTTGCCAATCCATTACCCCCTAGTTGATCCTGAGTAGATCCCATGAGCTTGGATTCATGGGCTTGTTTTATCTGCAATGATAGCAAGATACATATGAGTACATATTCAAATATTTAAATATAAAGCATATGGATATGCACAGCGAAGAAGGGTACTCTCGTGTCTATTAAAGGGTATGGTGCGGACGAATGTTTGTTATGCCCTTTTATTTGCTGCTCATGGCGAGCGCCAGTATATTGCTACTGTGCATGGCTGCCATCACACTAGAATCAAAGGAACAAGTGATATGGGTATGTGTTATGATATCGTTGTTCCAAGCCAAGCATCGTTGGTCAACGATACCTACTAACACATAAAACATAAAAGATATATGTTTGACTTAGGATTACCAGCGATCGTTAATTTGTCCCTTTGTATGAAAGGACAATGATGGGCATGGTTGTCAACCATGTAAATATTACAGGGTTAGCCATGAATAGCTTTCCCATAGCCAGAGGGACAATAGTGGCTAACTTTGCTCATGGCTAAAGCGTGAACTATGTGGAATCGAAAGAGTATTCCCATTAATCCACCAAGTCACGAAGGGTAAATCTCACTAAGTCAAATTTCGCCACAACAATGAATATGTGATAGAAAGAGATGGAGTTGTCTCCATGGAAGGGGGACGTTAGCCACATCCACAACCTCCGATACAACAAGGTGTGATACCACTGACAAGCACCAGACAATTCTTGTTGCACTTGCACCATCAGAGGGTGGTCATGCTTGTTGTTGACCGCCGGGCACTGCACCACCATGCATGGGTGACCACCAAGGGACCGTCGACCATTACTTAATGGATTTTTATTACTGGAGGGTAGCTATCCTGTCCAATCGCAAGGTTGCAACTATTATCGGCCTCACGGTAATTGTACCGAGTTGTGTTGACTCTTTGTTCATTTTCGGGAGCTAGTGAGATAGAACATATAAAGATTTGACTCTTTGTCCATTGCTGGGAGTCAATGTAATGAAGATATGTAGAAATGTGTAGCCTTTTGCCCATTGTTGAAGGCTTAATGAGATAACGAATTTGGCCCTTTGTCCATTGCCTGGGGTGATGTAGATGTGGCCTGTTGTCCGTTGATGGGAGTCATATATGTGTAGCAAGGTTGGTTCTTCATCCATTGTTGGGAGCTCCAAGATGCAATAGTGAACATCGTTGTAGCAAACATGACCATCAAAAACATCTAGCCATGTTGTTAGAATAGGTTTAGCCATGCTTGGCCATGTATATAAAAAGATGCTAGTGTATGTTGTTTCTGCAATGTTTGCAGTGAAGTAAATAAATGCCATTTTTGGCGATGTTGATTCTATTGCAGTAATCAGTAGAAGATAAGAATAGCATGTCTGATGTATGAAACAAGTTATGTGGGCCTTTGCTAATGTGGAGCCGCATAGGTCATTGACTTTACAACCATGTAAATTCATCCCTCAACATTAGCCCCCCAAGCGGACGAAGTTATGACCACAAGTTTGGCTGCTTGGCGTTGAGGGGGGTAAAGATTGCTAGGATTCAATTCCAATCAAGTAATCTACTAATGAAGTAACTTCGATAGAGACAAGATTGTGCTAAGTTTAGCCATGCAAAGCAACAACAAGCATAGATTAGTCTAATACGACTTGGCTGTCATTGATGAATGAGGCTAAAGTGCTAGCCAAATAATTTGATGCTGCCAGTAAGGCTTTAACATAGATTTAACCAAACATGGCCAGAGCAAGGATTCCAATCGTGGGATTCAATGCTCAAAATATGTACAGAGCATAGCTAAACCAACCAAGACAATGAGTAGCATAAGTGGCACCCATGAATTTTTCATAAAATTATTCTAGGTAAGAAAATTTACTCCTGCATTTGGTTGAACCCCTTTTTTGCGAATTCCACTAAAATAATTTTCTAGAAAAACTTGAATGTGATTTAGAGAGTACTCAGCAGTGACTCTGACTGATGCAAATATGAGACTAATAAACAGGCTTTCAGTCATGTCTTTGCTAGAATTCCTGTATGGGTTGCATTGCTTTTTTTCTTGGAAAAATAATAATAATATATTCTAAGCAGTTACTGTAGAAAAATTTTATCCATTGTTCACATGTGGTTCATATCTGAAGAAAACCCAAAACTATCTCCTGGGGAAGTTTTCAGCAGTTAGAAAAAGTAACCTCCCTTTTGAAAAAAAGAGAAACCGAACCTTGATGAGTTTAATTTTTATATGCATTTATCTACCCCTTTTGAGCCTAGAATTAAATTTTATGGGTCTTTTGTAATTTAGTTTCACCTTTGTTTATATTAAATTCATTATTTGTGGGTGAAAATTAACATAGGAATTAATTTTGTAATAAGTGATAATTTGCACATGCTGCAGTAATTTAACCATATCTTTTTCTCTAGGTATCAGATTGAGTTGATTCTTTAGGCGTTGGAAAGCTAAGAAGTAGAGCTACAATTGATGTTTTATGAACTCAACCCAGTTTCTTCTGTATCAATACAGAATTTAAGTTGAGGTTACGGTTTTGACAATGGACAGAGTGCAGAAATAAAGAGAATTGGGCTATGTTTTCTAGGTGTGGGTCAACTGCAGTGCAGGCCCAAAACAAAGCCCAATTCCCATGTCTGCTAGGGTTAAGGGGTTTCTAATTTCTAGAGATATATATAGATGCTACTCGGCAGAAACAAAGGAGCCACACAGATGGGAGAAAAAAAAAGTTGTTCTGCGCAAGAGTCAAGAGCACCCAGCCGCCCAAAATCCCAGCCATCTGCATCTGTTGTTCACCAGCAGCAGAAGAGGACAGCCGCACGAGATTGCTTTGCACATTGGAGGAAAAGCCGCCGCCCAACCTAATTGGAGGGACCTGAATCCAATCTGCACAAGAGGACCCTGAAATCTGTTCAACACCGCCCAGCCTCTGTTCGACACCATCCAGTCTTGCTTCTTCTCCACCAGCCTTGCTTCCAGACAACAGCGCACCATTCGGCAAACTGCAATTCTCCATTGTTTGTGTTTTTGTTGTTTCTGATTTTTTACTATGATTTTCTGCTGGGATTTATTTTTTATGGCTGTTGAGAACATAAACATGTGTGGCTAGATTTCTTTGAACTAGGGATGGGTGGATTTTAATTTTTGAAGTATGTGACTGTTTTTGTTAGTTTAATTCAAGATTTATTGGTTATTTGCATGATGAGTTTATATTATTGAACTTAATGTATTGAGAGCTTGATCACCTTTCAATTGATTTAGTGATTTATGCATGAACTTGAGAAAGAATTGTGTAAATTAGACCAATAATAATATAAATCGTGTGTTAGACTATGAGACCGAGAGGTAATTAGTTCATATGTGGTAGTGGAGGAAGAGAAGAGAGTTAGTAGCTCCTTCTTCTTAATTTAGAGGTTTCCATAGAATTTAATGCTCATTAGTTTGTTTAAAATTACATAGAAATATGATTAATTTAGCAAACAAATGAAGGATTAACTTGACTTGAGAAAGCTGATTAATTAATTTAGGGAAATCCGTCATCTCATGCAATAACACTATTATTTGAACTTGAATCAAATTAATAAAACAATTGTATAATTCAAAATTAAATGAAATCCAATCCCTAGTTCCTTCTCATTCATAGTTTCTTTAATTTAGAAAATTCTTTAATTTAATTTCCTTAGTTTACTTAGTTTTCTTTTAAATAGTTTAGTTTTCCCCATTAATTGGTTAATTCAACTTAGGTTAGATTAATAATGTCTTGGTAGTGTAGGATAGTCCTCGAGGGAACGATATCTTACTCATCTTATACTGCATAATCGATTAGGTTCACTTGCCTAAAAGTAGTGTGTATTCGATACATCAAACTCCATTATGATGGAATATAAAAAGGGGAGATTTTAAAGGAGATCATATGTAAGCAATTGTATTAAAATAGCGTGCACCTCACTTGTTGCCCCTTTGGTAATTTCTAATCGTGCTGATGCACAACAGGTGGCGAAGTGGTTGGCTGGTGCACTCAATGTTGCCCTTAATTTCCCCTATCTGTCATTCTCCATGTTTATTAGCAAACTTTTTAGTTTTCCCCCTTCTTCTTTTTCACAAAACCACTGAACCTTTCTTTCTCTCTTTTGTACCTCCAGTTTCCACCATCTTCTTCACGAAACTCTTGGGTTTATCAACAAAGTGATGGGATTTTTCCTGAGGCTAGTCTAGTGTGTAGATTTGACAAAATCCTTCTTTTAACTGAGGTAACAATGAATCTCTATTTTTTTGCCCCTTTTTTTTTTTTCGAGTTGTATCTTATAAATTTCTCACTCTTTCACTAATCTAAATCTCTACTTTGCTTCCTTTTTCCCTTTCGAAGGAAGCCTTGAGGATGGCTGATCCTTATCCCACCGATGGAGTGCAGCCATACCACAACTTGTGGTACACTTTTTGGGATGGCTTCTTGCAATTCAACACTTGGTTAGCGAAATGGGTGCTTGAGAAGCAAAAAGATCTAATTTTGCTAAAGGCTTTCAAGGGGGTGAAATCAGTGTAGCATGGTTTCCCTTGCCAAATGACGTAATGTGAACGAGGCTTGAAAGGCGAGATTTGTTGCCAGTGCCAATTTACTTTGCATTTTCATCCAATAAGATGGAGGATTGGACGAATTGGGCTAAGGAGATGCTTGCTGAGAATGGCTTTGTGGAAATATTACATGTCACCAGGATCCTTAAGTCAATGGCTCTTAGTCAGACTTTGTAAATTAGTGGCAATGTGGAGTGCCTTCGGCGCTTGGTGTGAACTTTCATTCTTGCTTTCAAAGAAGTGACCGTGATCTTAGAGGATGTGGCAAACTTGATGCTGTTGCCTATTGTTGGGGACGAGGATCCACGTCACTTAGCGTTGACATTGGAGGAGCATGCCACATAGGTGATTTTGAAGAAGGTGATGAAAAAGAACGCTAGTGCCTCTTCCCATTCATGGAGAGAAGAGTATATCATTGACTTTCCATAGTGTTGATGTCGAAGGAGCATGCCACATAGGTGGCTTTGAAGAAAGTGATGAAGAAGAACGCTCGTGCCTCTTCACATTCATGGAGAGAAGAGTATATCATTGACTTTCCAACTTGGATGCGATACTTTCGAAGTGGCAAAGGTAGGGATACTCCACACGTGTGTGTAGCCTTCCTTACAACTTGGTAGAGTAAGTTTATTTTCAGGGGTTTCTCGAACCACAAAATTATGGTTGGGTGCATTCCTCTGGCTATGCCTTATCACATGCTCAATTTGCTTCGCTTTGATGAGATTCTCGGTGCCAACTATTATATCATTGAGTCACATGTATGTTTATCTTTGTTACAAATGTTTGCGTGGGAGAGATTTCATCCATATCATTCTGGTTGTGTTACCAGTGAAAAAGCATTGAAGGAATACCCCATGGCAAAGTGCAGTTACACTAGTGGAACAACTCCACTAGCTTGTTCTTCGATAGGAAAATGAAAAGTAAAAGGGCAAATAGTCCCAGAGGTTGATGGACTTTTGGACGACTACAACAACTTTAATTTTCATGCATACAAGGTAATGGCAAGGACATTTGCTCCACCCGAAGTGAGCCTCTTTGACAAGACACTCCTAGCGGTGCTTGGGAGCCAAATTATGGATTCTACTACAAGAGATTCCAATCTTCTAGAAATGCTGGTAGTGATTACGCCATCCATGCTGCCGTGCATTACATGGCGGGGGACATGGAGTTTGAAATGCTATTGCTCGAAAAGAGTTGCGAGGCAATTTGGTTATGATAAGGATATTCCTCCTACTTCTTCCTTGGATAATATAGATTGGAATAAGGTCATGCAACCTTACATTGATGAGGCTGCCACAACCATGTGGAGTGAAGGCGTTGCCACACTCAGGTTCTTCAGCACTGCCAAGATATCGACCATGTCGCCGTTAATGTTGGAGTATTGGGGCACATTGCTAAAGAGGTTTGAGGCTTTTATTCAATCATTGCAGAAAGTTGTGGAGTACGATCCTGCTTCCTGAGATTGCGAACGTCTCTTCACCCATAATAATTCTTTCTTGAGCTATTGTAACAAATATTCTTGGGGTTTCTTGACGAGAATTTGGTGTCGATGATCATGATATGGATGTGTTTGATAATTTAAATGTTTTTTTTTTTGTTTTTGGTTAATAAGGGGAAAGTTGATAGTTTAG